GGATTTAAAAATTGTCAAAGTTGAAATTTATAATAAAAACATAGTAAGTGGACTCAAACTTTTGGAAGCAACTATATTGAGAGCCACTTAATTTACTAACTTGTAAGTTAATAAGCTATATATCAAATAAAGGCAATTTCTTGCTACAGGTAACTAAATTGACAAAAGATATACAATAGAAATAACTTTTTATAGTTAAAAATAGTAAAAAATATTTGAATAGAGTAAAGAAAATAGTCTGATTCAAAAATACCTTACACCAAAAAAATACAGAAAGACCATATTATATCATTCATAAAGGCTATAACTACATATCTTGATTCTATCTTTCTAATGTTATAGTCTTTTAGATTAAAGTTTCAAATAATTGATATTTTGTATCTCTTTTGAGTATCCCTTTTAATTTTATAGAGTAGGAATCATAAAAAATTTGTCAAAATAAAGGTAAGATGGTTTCTTTTTGATCAATTCTATTTCTTGCTACTATGGATTCTATAAAATTATTTTCAAATATAATTTGAAATTCTTTGTTTTGAAATAGATGTATTATAATTTTAATAAAACCTTTGAAACTTTAATTTATTTTATTGCTTTAACTAATATTTTTAAACTAATAGTATTATAAGCTTTGATTATATTCTAAAAAAGTATTCACAATTCCTTTTTTGTTTTATCTAGTATCTTTACAGATATTATTGAGGATTTGAATTGGTTCTATTGTATTTTTTTCTGATAATCTTGTATAGTTAGGCCCCCTAAGGATATTATTAACTTTACGAATTTTTTCTATTCGATTGATAAGAATTTTAGTAAAATATTTTCTTATAATCTCTAATAAAACAATAGGTCTAGGGTTTGAGAGTTCATAACCCATGCCTTTGGTTTAGTTATTGGATATATATGACTTTGTTTCTAATAAATTGAAGTGATTTTCTATTTCAGAAAGTTATTAACTATTTTTTTCAAGAATTCCTTTTCTTTTTGACTTAATTTTTTAAACATTTCCTAGTTAATTTATGATCTATCTAGAGCTTTATTATTTAGAAGTATGCATAATATTTTACTTAATTCTTCTTGGGAGTAATTCTTTATGCCAAGCTTTTTATATAAATTCTTTAAACCTATATTCATCCTTCTAATTCTTTGATAAACTGTCATAACTAGTATTTCATTTTTTGAATGCCTCTATATGATAGTTTCTAATCTCTTCTTCCATTTCACTTTTTTGTGTTGTAATATATTTAATATTATTTCTCTTGATTTTAATCCTATTAAGTATAATCTTGCTTCTAACTTGATTTGTTAAAGAGTTGATCATTCTTCTTTAATTGTGTCATAGATCTTTACACTTTCATTCTAAAGTTGCTTTGATAGCATCCCTTGTCTTTTTGGTTTTCAACCTTTGATATATAAATTTTAATCCTTCTATTACATCTTGAATATCTTTTTTTAAAGTTCTCCAGAACATATTTGAAATATTATATTGAATATAGATGTTTTTAATCTAGTGATTAGGCTTTTGAATAGTATTATATTTTTCTATAGCCAAGTTAAGGGTCTATAGATTAGTTATGTCTTTTAATGTTTTTGTCTTGTTAAAAAGCTCTTTTAGTCCTAAAGTTTTTCCATAGTCAATAAATTTGAGATTGTACTTATATTTTCTTTCTTTATTTGAAGCTACATTTTTAATTGCAAGTTTGTTGAAAACTTTTTTGAATAATAATTTTTCAAAAGTTTTTTAGAGCCTATTTGTCTAGACTTCCTTTTCCTCTTGATTAGATTCTTTCTATAGCATGGGTTCGAATATTGTTTTAAATTTGTAATTTAGACTTTCTTGATATGTTTGCTATAGTAAAAAAAATAATCCCTTTATATCTATTTATTTTTGAGTATTTGTGGAAGGTTTATTGATTTCACTTTTGGTAAATAAATTTTTGTTATAAAACATAATTATTAGTATAGTATAGTTATTTCCTATAATATTATTTATGTCTTTATTATCAAATTAAAGTAAGAAGTAGCTTGCTAGATTATATGATATTTAAATATAATCTATTCTGCTGCTGTTTGTTAAGTCCTATCTTGTGAGAGTTTTGTTTTTACTTTTTCATGTAACTTATATATCTATAAATCCTTATTTATCTAGAAAGTTGAATAAAACTATATAATAATTTAAATATAGTTTTAAAAAAAGTTTGTCTATCTTCTGATAGATTGTAGGTTACATTGAAGTCTCCTATTACAATTGTGAGATAATCTAGCCTATACTTTTTTTTGATAAGACTTATTAATTTCATCTATATCTTTTTACATTTTTTTTTTATCCAATAGGATATGGATTTGTATAATACAAATTTTTTCCATTTTATAAACAGGTTGATAGTAATTATATATCTATCTTCTTCTTCTACAGATGCTATTTTTTTTCCAAATCTTTTCTAATTAAAAGATTAATTCCTGCTTCAAATAATGTCTCATTATTGATACTATAAAAATACTTATAGGCTTCTTTTTTCTTTATAAAGTATAAATTTGTCAGTAGGACTAGTTTATTGTTTCTAATAGTATATTAGTTATATTTATTTATACAATGGTTTTTAATTTTTTCTTGAAGCTTTAGGAAATCCAACTCTTTTTATTTATAAGTATATGTTATTGTGATTTTATTATCTATTGTTAATTTATTTTTGAACTGTTTAATAATTTCCATTGGTTTATATTTAGGTCTGTATAGTTCTTTTGGATTTTTGATAATTTCCAGAAATCTATTTTCTATATAGAACTAAAGAAGATCTTCTTTATTGTCTTTTTCCAGTTATCAAAGATATAGTAAGTGTCAAGTTAAGATCTATTCTTTGTGAAAAATTGTTTTGTTAATTCTGAGTATCTTGGCAATAATACTGTCTAAGACTATATATATTTCAGGCAATGCAACTACTTTTTCATTAAATTTGATTTTTATTTATTATAGCAGTTGTTGGAAGGCCCATAGCTTTAAATACTTATCATGTTTTTGTAAAAGTTTCACTAAGGTATTAACTATGTCTTTTTCTTTTTTGTTTATTATTTTAAGTATCTATTGAGCTTTCTTCATACTTGCTATTATATTATTTATATTATGTTATATATTTGTTATTAGATTTACTGTTTTGATAAATTTACTTTTGTTTACTTGTTTATCAAATATATTATCTTGGTTTCAAACTTTTAAGTTTATTTACTGTTATTGTATTTTGCTTGATTAATATAAATTAAACTCATATTTATTAATTGTTTATTTGTTTGTTGTTTAGTATTGATCTGTTGTTTATTATCTCATTGATCTATATAGGATTACTGGTTATATAGAATATAACTTTGTTGATGAGTTTCAGGCATGTATTATGTTTATTATATTAAGAGATATATCTTATAAATATTGTTTTTGTTTGAGTATATTATAAGGATATATATATATATTGAATTATATGTCTGTTATTTATGTGTTGTAACTGAATTGCTATTTATGTTCTTTATTAATTGCTTTTGAGTTTCTAATGTTCTTTTAGGTTTTGTGACTTTTAAGTTTTAACTAGTTTACTGGTTAAAACTATTATATTGTGAAGGTTTTTTCTAATATTTAGAAAGATGTTAATCTGTATTGACCTGATTAGAAACTAGGAAAATTAATATTAGATCCCTTGATCTTATTGTGATTCAAATTTTCTTTCTTGTCCTTCTTTTTCTCAAAAATTTTAGTAGAGTATAATACTATTATAATAATATATACTTTTCTATTTGTTGACTTATTTGTTAAGCCTTGTATATGTCTTTTGAAAAGGGTTGTATAATTGTTAGTTCTTATTCATATTGTTGAGTTGGGTTTAGTATATCTTGTTCTTTTTCCCAAAATTATTCAAAAAGAAATTTTTAAGAAAAAAGAAGATCAATTATCATATTATACTTGTATTATATTACAATTTAAAGATATTTAATATATCAATTATAAATTTTTCACTTTATATTACTATTTATAAATTTTCAAAAATATCAAGAAAGTATTTAATTTTTACTTTATTTAATAAAAATTTAAAAAAAAATCCTAAAAAAGTAAAAATTATTTGCAACATTTTATTTTTTTAATTATAAATGGTGTAAAGGCCTGGGTTATGTTTCAGAATTAGTTATTGAATTTTATTTTTTTATAAAAAATAGTTTTTTATTAAAAAATTTTTATACTGTAATAAATATAATTATATAAAAATGAACTCGATTTTATTTATTCCAGGAATTAAAAAAGTAAATTGATTATTTGAATTGACGTGTTATTCGCGAGACCGGAAGCTTCAGAACAAATTGTCATTCTCAATAGTTTCTAGACAAGCCTATCAAATCAGAGAATCACAATCTGACCACCTCTCAAAAACCTATCCACGTGAAAATTGATCGAAGGAATTTTCTTGTCACGTGACTTTATATACGAATACGCATATAAATTAACTTATTTTAGTTATTAATTATAGACAAGAGACCAGTGTAACCTACAGCAATAGATAATCTTAGACGATGTTACGAAAAACTCTTACTAAATTTGCCCCCAAAAATTCTTCAACTTTACCATTCTCCATATTCCTGTCTCCTATTTCCAAACAACTTCGATTCAATTCAAAACTGAATAAACCTGTCTTATCTACTTTTGACGCGATTGTACTGGGAATCTATAAGGATGGGTCTCTTACCGATACAGCTGCCGAAATAGTTCCCAAAGAACTTCAACATACTATCCAAGAGAAACTTCGGTTTTCCGATGCTAAAGAAAAATTGGGCGAAACCAGAATATTTTATGGTCTCGGTGGAGAAAATTTTCCGAAAAAGGTTGCAGTCGTTAATCTGGGTATCAATAAAAACACCAATGAGAAAGATTTTGAAGCTTTGGAAAGAGCTCGTAAAGCCGTATGTACCTCTGTATACACATATGACTTGCTTTTGCAAATGGAATTAATTAAGTGCAGTGATAAAAAAGGCATCGGTTGGAGTACGTTCGCTACGTGAAGTGGGTGCCAAAAATATCGGCGTTGATCTGATGACTCATGAACATGGTTCGTCGAAATTAGTGGACTTTTTTCTTGCGTATTTATTTCCAATTAATAAATTCCATGGTTAGGCGCAGCTGAAGGTGCAACACTTGGTTTATACAGCTTTGATAGTCTTAAATCTACTAAGAAATCGTCTGTGAACATTGAACCAATCGGTGCATTATCAGCAAAATCGTTGGAAGATTTGTCATGGAATACGGGAATAATTTATGCGTCTGCCCAAAATCATGCTCGCAATCTTACTGAAACGCCAGCAAATCATATGACACCAATTATCTTTGTAGAAAATGTTGCATCGCTTTTGCGAGATGCCTCCAATGTAGAGGTGAGAATTCATGATAAAGAATGGGTGATCGAAAAAAACATGGGATCTTTCTTGTCTGTGGCTAAAGGATCGGATGAGCCATTAAAGTTCCTGGAGATTCATTATAACGGTGGTGAGAAAGGAAAAAGGCCACTTGCATTGGTTGGGAAAGGTACGATAATTTTTAAATATTGCGATTGTTGGAACATAATAAAATTTGTAATTCATTTTCTTTCATTGATAGGTATAACCTTTGATTCGTAAGTGACCCTTTTCGTGCCATTAATGAGAAGCGTTATTGAATAATAGCATTAATTCCGGATCAAAACTTCTAGTGGAGGCATTTCCATTAAGCCATCAGCAAAAATGGCAGAGATGAAGGGGGATATGGGTGGTGGTGCTGCGGTCGTATCGGCATTGTTTGGAATCGCAAAACTCGGGCTTCCCATCAATGTTGTCGTGTCCGTTCCACTATGCGAGAACATGCCTTCTAGTCGTGCAACTAAGCCTGGTGATGTTGTTAGAGCCATGAATGGGAAATCAATTGAGGTATTTGTTTCAAATACTCATCATCCCTTTTAACCAAACTCTTGATTTCAATGACGTTCTTCGATCAAAATTTCACTTGAAGATTGATAACACGGACGCAGAAGGTCGTCTAATTCTCGCCGATGCTTTGTACTATACCAGTTCTACCTATCAACCCCATAGCTTAATCGACATAGCCACTCTAACTGGTGCGATCTATGTTGCATTGGGGGAAGTCTATTCAGGTGTTTTCACAAATTCCGAAAAACTTTGGGAAAAGTTGTTGCAAGCTGGCATGTCGGCTAATGATCCCTTTTGGCGCATGCCTTTGGATGATGAGTATAGCAAATCTCTAAAAAAATCAACTGTAGCAGATCTCGTAAACGTCGGAGATAGAGGAGGGGGTGCCTGTACGGCCGCAATATTCTTGAAGGAATTTGTAAATGGTTTAACGGAGTATAAAGTGGATGAGGCTAATGGAGCTGATGAGCTCGAGAAACCTCTAAAAATGTTGGATGCTGATGAAGAAAATAAGATTCGTTACGCCCATATTGATATAGCAGGGTCCATGCAAACCACGCAAGATTCCGGATATGACGTGAAAGGAATGACCGGTATAAACAATCACTCTAATTTTTATCAATTCTAAATCAATGTATTTTAACGTCTTTTTTTTTTTTAGGACGACCAACCCGCTCGATAATCGAATTCGCAAGAATAATTTCTAAAGATTCGGATTTCCAGTAGAACATCTTTATCGAAGAACATGGATTTCTTTCATAATTTAACATTCTTAAAAACACCTTGCCCCGCATAGTGATATGAATCATGTGATTTATGCAAGTTCGATTAGTTGGAATTAGTTGATACGTTATCTTTATTTATAGTTTGTTTATATTTTATTATTTTAATAAAAAAAATTTTTTTTAATTTTAAGTAGTTGTAATAATGTAAGACAATTTTTTTAAATTTATTTGTTTAATAATTTTATTGTTAACTAATAATATAATAAGATTTGATTTTGCAAGTTCAATATATTGATTTCAAAAATTATGAATTATTTAATATTGATATTTTTATAAAAATTAATGTAACATGGATTCAAAAGGAAATAAAAAGAAAGATAGATTTAAAATAGGTATTAAAGCTTATTTTTATTACAAAAGTGAAACTAGTGATTTTAGTTACTATATTATTTATAATTTCAATCAACAAATTTATAATAATCTTTACAATTAATCAAGTTTATAAAAAAATTTCAAAATAGTATATAAAAAATGATTAGAAAAATATTTGATTTTATAAAAAAAATGTCAATTTAAAACTTATTAAAATTAATATATATATTAATAATTTATATAATAAATTAATAAATATTTTAATACAAAATATTTAAAGCTTTTAATAATTGAATAAAAAATTTAATCTTTAATAAAATTATTATAAAAGTACTTTAAAATACTTTCTATAATATCTCTTTATATAAAATAACTTTTTTTTTTTAGAGATCCTAACATATATAATACTTAAATATTATATAGTAGCTTTCAAAAATTAGAGTCTATTTACTATATTTTAGTATAAATTTTAACATTGCCAATTTTTAAATCCTTAATTACTGTATATAATCAAAAATTATAAAGTCTATATACTGTATATTATTTTAAAGTTTTATTATTTTTAAAAATTTCTTTTCATATACTCTTTCTGCTAATCCTCTGATCACATATAAACAAGATGTTTGCAAGAAGTTTTTATACTTTCTTGCTAATAAAGTCTTAATACTTTTCTTAAAACAACTTGAAATATTACTTCAAAAGTTGCTATTACCCTTTCTTATTGTCTATAAACCTTTTTACTCAAAAACTTGACTCCTAGTAATTAAGTAATATCTTTAATACCAATAGTAAGAAAGTTTCCAAAAGAAAAAGAACTGATCATAAAGTATCTGAAGATTTATTTAATCTTTGAAGTGAGAGGCTTGTAGAGATTTTCTGTAGTAAAAAGACTTATTTTCTTCCTTTTTGACTGTTTTGATCCTCTTAGAGCTTCCATTTTCATGGTTTTCTAAGGAATTTTGTCTACTTCAATTTGACTCAGAATTTTGGATAGTACAAATCCTTATTAAAGGTGATTGACTGTCACTTACAGGTTAGTTTTTAAAATATAAACAAGTTTCTATTGGTCACACTCACGTGTCTTGTTATATTATTAATATATTTGAAAGAAAGTTCTAGAAAAAGTATCCGCTTCAATTGTGCATATTTGACTTTCAGGAAATAATTATAATACTGAAAGGCAAGTAACAAGTAGACAAATAGATTTAACTCCTATCTCATATTAAGTTTTTCAAGTGATAAAAAAACTTTCTTAAATAAAAACTAAAATCTCCAAGCTTTTATCCTGGTCAGACAAAATTCTTGAAAAGATTTCTTTATCTTGATCAGGCAAACTTTTTCATAATATAGTGTTGACTTTAGTAGCAATAAGTAAATCTGTATATTAGCAAAAAGAATAAGTTTTTCAAATATTCTTATTAAAGTCATTTTCAGGAATAGTTAAATTTCTCAAATATCATGAAGCTTAGATAATATCTCAATTAGGCAAACTTCTTTTGAAAGGAAACTGTGAAATAGAACAAAAACCTTTTGGAGAGCTTTGAATTGTATTTTCTTTTTTCTTTTTTTCCAGTATCATACATTAGCAATACATTATTTTTCAGGATAATTAATAATAACAAACTGTTGGCAATACTTCTAGTTGACTTAGAAATACTATACCAAACTATTAGAAGAGCATAATATTGTTTTCTAAATTTGACTTAGAGTACCTAATTTAGACTTAATTTTATTTAGTCCAAATTAGTTTAGTGAACTTCTTATATTTTTTAAATAGTGTAGTTTTTTAACAAATAATATACAATGATAACCTATGGGTCAATAGTACAGTAGTAGTGCTTCCAGATCGCAATCACTAGGTTTAGAGTTCAATACCACATGAGGACCAAGTGAAAATAAGCCACAAGGTGACATTAATATCTTATTTATCTTATAATAATGATTCAGTGATCCAAGAATAGCAATAAAACAAAAATCAATGAATCAATAATGTAGTGGTTAACATTCCATAAAAGGTCAAGATCACAAGATTTGGGTTTAATTCAATCAATAAGATACAAGATTGCTCAATAAGAAAAAGAACCTATTCATTGGTGTAACCGTAAACTAACCAATGTTTCCAATATAGCATCCAGTCTATATATATATTGTGATCAAGTAGTGATCCAAAATCGAATAGGATTATCATTGACACAACCACATTATCAATAAAAATGATAATAAGAATAGTAGTTTTCCAAACTGGTAGCATGCCTCTTAGGACTTATCCATATGTATGTGGTTGTGCCTACTTTCATAAACTTGATTATTGGAAGGCCTTGGTGAAAGAAGAAATCCGCAGACCACTCCAAAGGATCGAAAACTGGGATCCAGGATACTGTTTGATGGCCTAATAATTAGAATACTTTTAATAAAAAATTGTTCTAGGAATAATTAAGATGGAATCGCATAGTCTTCCAGCTTTTGGATTGGGCTAGTAGTGGTTGTATATAGCATTAGTTAAATATATATACAACTATTCATGTAAAATAGGTTTACTATAATATATATGTATAATTACTTATTTGTAATAATCAAACAGTTATAATTAATAAAATTATAAATTAAGGCTATGAGACATCACCAGTATTTAAATGCAAAGATTGCCTCTTTAACGATACAGAACTTAGAAAACAATATAAGAACTAATAACAATGTATAATGATGCAACTACTAACAAAATCAATAAACATCAAGGTATTGAAGAGTACCAGGGGCTGTATCACAGAACCAGGTGAGTCAAATACAGAACAATCCTGAATTAACAGACTCCAGTCATCCTTTCAGGACATTAAACATGTACTCAAAGAGATTAATAGTAGATATTCACCCAACACAGCTCTATCAATCATATATCTGGATCCCATATTGATTACAAAGATCCTAATCCAGAAGAGACTAAGGGCTCTGCCCAGAACAATAGTGAGACTACAGTAGATTGTACAAGAAATTGTATCTGAAACAACTTACAAATATACACAGATGGTTTTTTCACTAAACGACCCACCAATAGCAAAATGGGGATTGGATGGGTAATCCAAACAGAGATAGGAGTAGACATTACCACGTTTCAGGCAAAAACCTGGGATATTTCATTCTCCACCAGAGCTAAACTAACAGTGATACTAATAGCAATTAGCGCAATTGGCACAAAAAAGAAAATAAACATAATTACAAATAGTTAAAGTACAATCAATAGAATAAAAAGGCAAGTCAAGACAGGCATTATTAGAAATAGAATAACAAAGAACCCAAACAAATGTTTGATCAATACAATTCTGGAAATCATAAAGATACAAAAAATAAAGATCAAGTGGATCAAAATTAAAAGCCACTCAGGCAACTGAGGAAACGAACTTGTAGACAAATTTACAGTGACCACACTGGCAGATAAGCTCAAGAATATTATTAGAGTACACGAACTAAACTTAACAGGTGACATGACAATACTCAAATGAGATCAAGCCTTCATAGATTACCCCTTTAGCATTCTAGGGAAGACACTTCTAAAAACCAAATAAACAGACAAATGAAGAACACTGAGATGAACACAAGACTGGCTTACGAGTTCAAAGTCCAGGGAGATAGACTAGAACATAACCTTACAAATATTATTGCTATTCAAGATCACATCACTACAAACTGACCAGGAGAACTATAGAAATAGATCCTTCTGATGGAAGATTTGAATAAATGAACACCCATATTGACAAATCTACATATACAAAAATCACATCTGTATAAAGACCCAACCTGCATCATCTATATGAGACAAGAAGAAAAAAACCTTCATTCTTTCACATGTGGATCCAACAAGATGAGACTCATGAAAAAGTACATATCCTTCCTCACAGAAGAATATGCAGCCAGGGTCAATGGCAATAAGCAAAATGAACCAATCCACAAAAAATGGTAATAATCACCCTAACCAGCAAAAAAAATAGGATTAAATGCAATAGAATGGATAGACATCATTAAAGAAGCTATCACATACAAAATAAAGCAAACGGCAGTCAAGATTACAGGCAATGAGGAAGCAATGATAACAGCCCTAAATATAGCAACAGCTTGGTTTTGGCAAGAGAAGAAAGAAGTCTAAAAACTAAAATGTAACCTGACTTTAGAATGGGAAAAAACATAAGGCATTACCAAGAAAAAGAAAAAGGAGCAAATGCAAAATAAGCACTATCAAACTAGAAGAAGCACACAAAAAGAAGAAAGATTGCAAAACATCAATGGATAACTATATATAGAGCTACCAACTACACTATGAAAGAGATCCTGGGAAAGGTATACTCAATCAATACAATTTTTTCATTAAATTTCGGTATTAATGAAGTTATAACATGTTAACATTCACCAATAGATGAACTGCAGTGAGTTATAGGATTTGTTAAGATACTAAGTCAATAGTTTTTTCTTATCATAAATATATTTTCCTATAATTAAATTTGTGTATAAAAGAAAGTACAAATGATTAAATGAAAACTATATAGTATGACTTTGCCAGCTTTAATAATATAAATAAAAAAAAAAAATTTAATAATATACAATGATGAGTTAGATGCTTTGTAAAAAGTCTAAAATATT